TGATATTTGGTCTAGCTTCATTCAATTTAAAAGGGCTTTTGGGCCTTGGCAGAGGTATGTGCTCTAGTTCTGTGTCTTTACAACTTTCAGTTCAAAGTTGAATTGAATTAAGGGGTTTAAGAATATATAACATTACATGTAAAATTCAATAGAACATTGAGAAGAGTTTTATTACAAGTCAAAAAATTTTCCCGAACATTACAGTGTTAGAGATTATCATGTAAAACCATTTCTACTAGTCACCAGACATTATTTATACAACATAAACAACCCTACTAGATTTCCAATCACAGCTAAATTTTGTATTAACCAAATTACAGTTTGTCCACAATAATTTCATAGTCCCTTACCAGGACCTCTGTTTTTCAGCCTATTCATTCATTCATTTTACTTGGGTTTAAGAGTGATAGATTTGTGTTACCTACTGGAACTCAAGCTACACAACACTTAAACTCTATTGTTTTGTTCAGGAGAGACCACAATGTAAATTATGATTCTGATGTAAATTGACCAGGGGCCACTGAGGGAGTCATAAATCAGAGAGCTCAGCATCAGGTGAAAGTTTTCCCACCCGGGTCAATTTAAAATCCACATTTTGCTTGAATGTATCAGAGGAACTACTCTGTGTGTGTGTGTGTGTGTGTGTGTGTGTGTGTGTGTGTGTGTGTGTGTGTGTGTGTGTGTGTGTGTCTATTTAACTAGTAAGTACACAAGGCTGCATACTCTCAGGTGGAGATAAGGTTCTAAGGTGTCTGTGTGTACAGACGGGAGCAGCACGGAACTGTCCATGAACTATCAGCAAAACCAAAACAGCAAAATATATAACATTTCCCATTTCGACATTTCAGTGATTTTCGTCCGCCTGTTTTCTGAGACTCAAAGTGAACTGGACAGTTGAATTGTGAAGTGGATGATTCCATTTGTGTGTCTGCCTACTTTATTTACTGTAAAGGTCAAGACAAAAAGAAATCCCCCCTCTCTTAAAAACAATAACTTTTTCATTTCCGATCACATGCATGGACTGAACATCTCAACTAAATCAACCACTCTCGATTGTTGTTTAGCTCCAGCTTTAAATCCAGTTTGTAGCCTTCTAGCTGATCACCACTCTCATCTTCCTCCTTCCCCCACCTCTCCTCCCCCCACCTCTCCTCCCCCTCTACCTGCTCGGTCTACCTCTGTGGAGGTGCACTGCTGGACAATCTCCGGTTCACCCTGGGGTCTAGTGTTGCAGTGGGGGTATCCATTATTTAGCTGGCCTGGACAAAAGAGGCCAGACTAGCTCCACAGCTGCCATGCAGCAGACAGATAAGACAGCACACCAAATTATTCATTGAGGAATGGAAGGATGGAGAAGCTTGAAGTTAAATAGGAACTAATGAAATCATTGAGTACCAATGGGACATGTGACAGAGAGAATACATGTTTCCAAAGGAGTTAAATATCTCAAATGAATAAATTGAAAGCCAAACTGAAACTGAAATGAAACCGTCACAAGTCGCCTCCCCCTGCCACTGACAAACACTAAACATGTATAAAAATACATTGTGGTTCATTGGTTGGATAAAATCAAATCTGAAAAACAGTGGTAAACATTTCTCACACTTCTCTCTCATCATCAGCAATTCTGTTTTTTCTTAATTTATTTCCTGAACATTACAGTGCTAAAGATTATTATGTAAAATAATGTCTACTTGTTACCAGAAAATGATTTATTCAACACAAGCAACCCTACTTTTCCACCCTAGATTTCCAATCACAGCAAAATGTTGTATTAACCCAGTCACATTTTGTCCACATTAATTTCCAGGACCTCTAAAAACGTTTTTATATAATGCAGTCTTATGCAATCACAGGAATCCTTGGCTCTAAGAGTGAAATATTTGTGTTACCCACTGGAACCCAAGCTGCACAACAGTTAAAGTATATTGTTTTGTTCAGGAGAGACCACAATGTAAATTATGATTCTGATGTAAATTGACCACGGGCCACTGAGGGAGTCATAAATCAGAGAGCTCAGCATCAGGTGAAAGTTTTCCCACCCGGGTCAATTTAAAATACCCATTTTGCTTGAATGTGTGTGTGTGTGTGTGTGTGTGTGTGT